AACTTAAAAAAAATAGCAGCTTGTGTCTGTTTTTTTTTTTGTATTCATTAATTTTGAAGAATGACAGGCTGCCTTCGGTGGGCAGATACAATCGCTAGTACGGGGAATATTTCTCTATCGTATGACCGAAAAAATTGCGTGTATCGAATGATTCATACATGACATTGGTACTACTTTCATTAATTGGTATATAAAAAATATGGGTATGTGTATTCATGTGCTAAATTTCAATTCCATTTTTATATTTTGGCGATAAGTTTATTTAATTAGATGAGTAACAACTGAACGTGTTAAATATAAAAAATATTCATAGCAATTCATTTGTACGTCCACACAAACTGCAAGTTTCAAAGTTTCAGTGTTAGTAATAAATTATAAATAAATACTTAAATATTCTAATCTAAGGTCTTACAGTCATTAGGTTCGGTTATAGTGACCCATTGTGGTATTGTGTAGACTAAGATTTCTTTTCCCTTCACTTTTGTAAAAACCATATTGATTCTTTAAAGAATATTGTCTTCCATTGCAGCATTCCTAAATTATATAATTTTGTAAGAGTTTGAAAGAATTTTTAGATGGTCTAAGCTAAGTCTTTGCAGCTTTGAACAAAATGTAGTGCTGTTACATTTAGCCCTTTAGTATGAATTCAATACAACACAGAAATATAAGTCATAAATATTAATTTAAATTTTTTTCTTTTTAAATCTATTCTCTTATTTTAAACGCGGCAGATCAAACTCGATAGTATCTCTAAGTTATATTATGTTGAATTTGTAAGAGCAGATTAGCAAGATAGGTAATGGTATATGCTTTTCGCTACCTTTTTGTTTCCACTTGCAATAGTCAATCTGGTAATCAAACAAAAATAACTGAGTATAGGTAAATAAACTTGAACCGTTCTGTCAGATCTCAAGATCAGCAAAAACATACCAATCAGCTGTATTAACTAACGCATAATCTGCTCATGCATCGCTGAGGACCGCTCATTGAGTATCAGAAAGACATACTTGAAGTCTGAGTCCACACTATAATAACTTTTGTCTAGGTTGTGACTTTGCAAATAAGAAGGAACTGTAATCCAACACATCTCTTAGTGGCCGAAGTCACACGTTGTCCTCATATATGCGTTGCTAAGCCAGATTAAAATCATTCAAGGCTGTTTATAATCATACACATCGTTTAAGATTACAACAATTATTTACTTAACACTAATACGAGTAATAATATATTTATATAATATATAGTAATTAACTCAGATATGAAAAATGGCTTCACACCTTAAAGAAAATGATTTTTTAAAATGGTAAACTGCTAGACTATAAATAGTTAATTACGGGTAAATTTTTTGACTAAATAATGCACTGGCAATTTTTTAACTTTTTTATCTTTAATTAACAATAATTAATTTTCTTCTTAATATTAACTTATATTCATATTTGCACGTGCATGCATATATATATTTCTTTAGTCAAAAAGAAAAAAGAAAAAAGAAAATGCATCGTCAGTTAAAAAAAAATGTGTCTTTAAAATTTACGAAATAATTAATAATAATTAAAAACTACAATATTTAAATTAAATTACCATAATAATTGCTTTTCAAAAAACACGTACGTTTACGTGTACATTTCATTAAATTTGTATATGTCTTTTCTACTTTTTTATTAAGTTCTGCACGTGTCTAATTATTACTTCTTTATTCTACAATATCTCAATATAAGATCTCAATATAAGTATGTATTTTTTTAGAATTCAATTATTGAATGCTATAGTCATAATATTATATATTGAAGTAAACATTTTCCTAGTATTTTTTTTCTATTATAATAGACTCTGGCATAATATCGATTGAACAATTAAATATATTAAAAAGTGCACCATCGTTGCATTAATTTAGATTCTGTATTTTTCAATCATTGATCTTTTAATTTCTCACATATCTGAATATCAAAGCAAAAGTTTAATATGGTTGTATCGAAGTACGAACCATATTTAAATATTAAACATATAAAATATAAGTTCGTTTTAAACGGTATTGTTATATGCAGACGACCTGCTATTGTTAACCTATTTTATTAGTAATCTACTTTGATTTGGTTTTCATTTAAAATGTCTTTATAAAAACGTTTACTCGTTAGAACTTTAACGGAAGGAGTTTATAACTGACATTCAAACAGATAAACTTGCATCGGCTTACAGTAATTAATAACTCATATGGTTGATATGATGTGTGATCCGTCTTTTCTTCTTTTCTTATTTATAATAGTCTGATGGGTATAATCAATAAACAAATCTCATTTTGTTGAGATAATTACTTATATAGGGTACTTCCGACTGCTCAATCAATTCAAGAAATGATTCTTCTTTGGTCAAGTGACGAATTTGCATATCAAAACCTACTTGAGCACAAATAATACCTTGTCACATCCTTTTAAAAGCTTATTATCCTTTATTCATCCTTTTAAGAGCTTAGTATTTGAAGACAAATTCATCTAAGCTAGGAGTGAAGACGCTTAAGCGTTAAAATTAGGTGTGCTGTGAAAATCCTAACGAACTATTAAGAGGAGACCATTAGCGTTATACACGATGAAGGGGATCATGAAGCCCGCTATTATAAAGCGGGATGTAATGAGGGGAGCGTGCCATTTCGTCAAGATAGAGAGAGAGGGATTGAGGGGGCCTGTAAAAAAGGGCTTCAAGAAGCTCAAAGCAATGGACGGGTTGATGCAGCTGGTGACACCTAGCAGGACGCCTAGCAGGGGTGGTTGCTTGACGGCAGGGGTGGTCACTGGGTGGAAGGGGGCTTGGGGCCCTAGGAGGTTACGCCAGATTTTGTGGCGTTTATTAGGTACAGGTGCGCTAGAAGGGGTTATCTGGGGTTATTATTATTATCGGAATCGGATTCCAAAGGGATGACATCACCGAATACACTGGGGGGTGGAGAGGAGGGGTTGGTCTTCCTTCTCTTCTCTCCTGGGACAGGGCTGGGAGTGCGTAGAAGACTTTAAAGCTCGGCTTTTTCGTCGTTGAGTTGCTGAATGAACAAGCCAAATTCGGCAATCAGACTATCCTAGAGGAAGCTGAGGAGCTTGTTGAGCTCAGTTATCTGCTCGAGGAGGGAGGCATTTTGCTTAGTGATAATGGCGAGGGTTGGTGCTAAGTGCAGTGGAGTCGTCAAGAGGGTCAACAGACATAGAGAAAATCAATTAAAAGTTATATGCTACAGAGAATTTATTATTATTTGAAGAGTACGTAGATTCACCGCTAAAATAAAAGTTATTATATTAAAGGGAAAGTAATAAAGATAAAATTAGAAATAAACAATAAGAAGGTAGATGTAGTACAAATAAATGGAATGAATATATTTTCATTTTTATTTTTTATTTATTTTTAATAGTTTCTAGTATCTAGTTTCTAGTATTGACAATTAATTATTATTAAACGAATTCACAAAGATTTTACAATTAAATTTTAATTTAACAATTAAACCTTTATTGCACGTAAAACCGTTCGTCCTCACCGCACGAATAGGATAATTCAATGCAAATGCGAGATGCGATTGCTTTGTAATATTTTAGATTCTCGGTAAATCAGTATTAAAGAAGATTCTCGGAAATTTTGCGTTTAGATGTTAATTTTGCAATAAAACTATACCTACACGTAGAAACCCTTTCCTCACCGCACGGATAGAACAATTCAAAGCTAATGCGAAATGCGAATGCTTTAAATCGATATTAGAGAATATTCACTGAGATTTAGCAATTAGATTTGGATTTTGTAGTAAATCTTTAAATGCATGTAGAAATGCACGTCTTCACTGCAGAATAGTACAATACGGATAGTCGATTCGTTAAAATCTAACTACTTAACATATATCCGTGTTTCAAAATCTGTTTACATTTTAAGAATTGAACTTATTTGGTGAAAGATATATTTTACTTACACATTTAAACATAGAGTATTTTTACACCAATAGGTTAATTCTAATATGTAAATTGATCTATTTATTGTTTAAAATTAAAATCTATTTTTATTTTAAAATCTCGAGAGATGAAAAATTATATTACCGCTCAATACTGCAATAACAATTGCATTATTACTACGTCAGAGATTATGAAAAAAAAGCAAGTATAGCAGAAGCAACAAATAAATTAATCCCACTCAATTGGTACAAATTTACCGGAAATAATAATTTAGCTGGAGAAAAGAACTATTCTAATGCAAACTGCGAAAAGTAAAAATGAGAAAAGATTCATGAAAAAATATTTAATTTCGAGGAAACTGTGAGGTGTGAAACATCTCAGAAAATCTCACATTATTTTTATTTTTGTGCAGTTTAATTTAGTTTAAAAACTTATTCCCATCAAAGCAATCGGTATCTGAAAAAAATTTTCTTACTAAATAGAAGTTTTATGTTAACCAAATATAAAAGTTTTTGTTCCATATTATTATTCCAACATATTTTTTATAGCATCTAAATTGTGTTTAAATTGTGAATTTGGATCAAAATTAACGAAAATCGTTTTATGAGTTCTGAAAACCTTTTTGGATAAAACTCAGAAAGTAAAATGCTGCCTCAAACCATGGACTACAGTGCTTTTGTAAAATTCCCTTACCAATATGTATCAAAACATTTATTAATATTAATTTTTTTCTATATATATTATAGACCATCTGTACGCCGGCACCATTCTCCTCCGATGAGAAGGCTGTACTTGAGCGAGCCCGTTGTGATTATGAGTACAAAATTACCTATCAAATGGCACGTTCTGGAGTCGCCAAACGGCGTGTGCGTGTTTATGCCGATGGCATATATGATTTGTTTCACCAGGGCCACGCCAGGCAATTAATGCAGGTTCGTATGAAAATGATAATTGATTAAAATTAAAAAAAAAATAGATAATTTTATAATATTTTAATTTCTTTCAATTCTAGGCGAAAAATATATTTCCTAATGTTTATTTAATTGTTGGTGTTTGCAATGATGATTTAACACATAGAATGAAGGGTCGTACAGTAATGAATGATCACGAACGCTATGAAGGTGTGCGACATTGTCGTTATGTCGATGAGGTAATTTTGAATAATTTTGCTTAAAAATTATAATGAATAATGTTATGCGTTTTTATAGATCATAGCTGACGCTCCGTGGACATTATCTGATGAATTTATAGCTGAAAACAAAATAGATTTTGTTGCTCATGATGACATTCCATATACTGGTACTGGTACCGACGACATATACGGTCCATTAAAAGCAAAGGGCATGTTTGTTGCTACTGAACGTACTGAAGGTGAGTCTATGCTTCATCTGTAAATATTTTTTAAGTACACGAAAAATAAGTATTATATAAAAATATAGGAACAATTATTATAAATGTCTAAACGACATTTAAGTGTGCACACTAACATTCGGCATATGAATAATTGTATACTATTTTGAAGAATCCAATAGTTTTAGCGATCCCCGGATATATGCTAACATATATGTGCAGCAAAATAAGTATAGAAATTTAACAGCTGTTGGCAATAGTGTACCTGGAACCCATTCTTTAGGGATGCCAAACCTTTACTCTATTTTAGCTAAGGCACAAGAAAACCACTTAAATCTGTGTTATGCAGACAGTCTTGGTCACGTCATATGTGAAATTGATATTGTTAAGGCACAAGAAAACCACTTAAAGTTATCTTTACGAAATATACTATAAGCTAACTTTGGTACTAAAGTGTGTGCGTAGAGTGAAGAAGGTCAATAGGCAATTAATATGAAATCTATTGTTAAATGAGCAATTTAAATGGAGTGACACATTTTCAATGTTATATTTTTTTATAATTTTTGCTTTTCACATTTCTAACTATAATTTAATTTTTACTAAAAAAATTTATATATTATTTATAGGTGTTTCCACATCGGACATTGTTGCTCGCATTGTTAAGGATTATGATTTATATGTACGTCGAAATTTAGCGCGTGGTTATTCGGCTAAAGATCTTAATGTATCATTCCTATCAGAGAAGAAATTCCGTCTACAAAATAAAATGGACGAGTTGAAAGTTCGTGGCCGTCGTGAATTAACTAAAGTTAAAGGCGACATAATGACTAAATGGGAAGAGAAATCTCGCGAATTTATTGACGCATTCCTTTTGTTATTTGGACGTGAACGTTTACATCACTTATGGAATGAATCAAAAGGTAAACTAATACAAGCACTTAGTCCTCCTGGTAGTCCGAGTGGTTCTGTGAATGGTGATGCAGATGATTTTGAGGACGAAGAAGAAGATGATGAGGAAACTGATCCAATGCAAGCTGGTGTCAGTATCCATATGGAATTATCACCAAAAGATCGTCGTACGTATAGTCGTCGTGGTGTTGATAGTCCTACACTGGGTCGATCAGCTACAGTTCCAAACAGAGCACATACGACGCTAGCATCAAGGCAGGAATACGATGAATTTGAACGTTTAAGTAACTAAACGCTGCTTATAAAAAAAAACAAAAGAAAACAACAATAACAACAACCTAATTTATTTACAAATACAGGCAGTTAATAATAGTTATAGTTGCTAAATACAATTAGTTAATATAGATTTTAATATAATAAAATTATATACCTAAATAATTCAAATAAGTTCTACAATATTCAAAAAAAAAAAAACGAAGCTTATTTTTTTTATTAAAATTATTAAGTGCTTTAGTTGTTAATGCTTTAATTTGTTATTATTTAAAATTTTATAAACATAATTTAATAACAAATTATGTAAAGAAATATATAAAGAATTTTAAGTAGCAAATTGAATACAATGTGTAATTAATAACAGAAACTACTATTCTTATTAAGCTATATATTTACATACACATGCACATACTAAGTTAAGTCCTGTTTTTATGACCTTAGCTAATAAATGTGTATTATATCTTTGAATAATGTTATTATGTATACATATTTTATATGTTATAGTTTCAATGACTGATTTGATTTCCCTATTACTATTTTATATATATTATATTTACCTATATTGTATTGAATGTATATTTTATTAATTCTCTTTATTTCAATTTGGTTTAACTATAAAATATAAGCTCAAGCAGCTCAGAAGGTTCTCAGAATAATCTTAACAACCTATTAATTGGATTTGAATATGTATGAAATAGAAAAAGTAACAATTTTTATACCAATCGAACTCATTTTTAAGGAGTAAAAGACATTATAATTGAAAATTGAAGTTATATAGGAAATTAAAAATTTATAAGTTTTTCACGCACTGTAATGTTTTGTATGTAGTGCCACCTATTCGAAAAACTGTTTTTTTGCCTTTCTCAAATCTTCAAAATGAACCAAATTTTAAAAATGAATTCTTAATAAAGACTATGTTTGGAATTTAATATCAACATAAAAATAATATATTCTTTCTTTTTTAAATATTTCTTATTTATTTATTTATTTATGAGTTTTTAATATATTGTTTAAAGTTTATAGTCTTACATGAAAGAAGACTTGCTTTAATGGCAATAAAGGCAATATTTTTTGAATAATTTTTAAATAAAAGAAATAAATATAAGCTAAGTTTAAAATATTCTACAAGTCGAAAACGTAATAATTACAAGC